CTCAAGCACAGGTTGAGATTCCATGGCCCCCTTCCAAATCAGATTCCATGAAGAACCTGAGAGCCACGTGGATTATCAAGAGCTCTGGATGATGCCGTTTCTTAGCTGACAAAGACTAAACTCCTTGGCCTAGCATCCCATGAGACCACAAGCCAGCCCCGCACCCAGGCTAGTCTCACTCTCACCACTGTTTGCCCGTTTGCTAACCATCTACAGGGCCTTGTCCCTCTGCCCCAGCAACACTCGCCCATGGACTTCTGAGGCACAGCCAAGCATCATCTTCTCTAGAGTGTGCCTTCTAACAATCACAGCGGTCCCAAACTGGAATGGGACGCCTTGTAAATCGACACTCATCTTGTTTCTTTCAATTCTTCTGGTACTGACTCACAAAACCACAATTTGCAGCTAGAAGAGAGCTAGCTTATGGATCACCTAGTGCAAAAATGTGGCCGGGGCAGGCCCAAGTCTCTGAGAGAGGTCCTGGAATACAGGTCTCTTGTGGGATGCCGCCCTGGGGCTGGGGGGCAGGGGGATGGGGGGGCGGGTGGTCCTATCTGTCTGTGATCTGATGGGAGGTCTCGGTGTCTCCCTCACACCTGTATGGCCTGGCACAAGCAGGACTGACCCACAGGGCAGGCATTCTGGCAGGACCTCCTGAACTGAGATCTCGAACCACATCTCGAACCACATCTCAGGCTACAAAGGCCCAACGCTCAGAAGTAAAAGGTCAAGGCAACCCTCCCAGGCATTGTCCCAGGGTGTCCCTTCCCTTAAGTTAAACTTTAACTTTTTCTCTTGGGAATTAGTGGGAAAATAAATCCCAGTCCAACGCAGGAAACAGGCTGGTCCAGACACCAAACTGTCAACACTCACTTCCCAGCTTCCCCGCTTCCCTCCACTTCCAGTCCCAGGCTCTCAACTTCTCCTACACCCAAGTATCTGAATATTCTCTTCCCAACAACCCCTCCACTTTTTCTTCTGGACCTAGTGCACCCAGTACTGCAGGTCTTCCTAACACAACTTTCTATACTTCCTAGCCCCTCTTCCTCAGTCTTTCTTCCAAGTCTCCCTTTTCTGTGCCCCTCAGCATGCCGCTGCCCTAGGCCTCTCTCTAGACCAAGGGTGGGGAACCTGCGGCCTGGAGGCCACGAGTGGTCTAGGTCCCTGGGTGCGGCCTTTAAACGGAGTCTTATGTTTTAGAGAACAAATTCTTTTATTAAGGAGATTTGCTCTGTGAAGTCTGGATTCCGTCAAAGGGCCGCACTTGAGGACCTGGAGGGCACGGAAGTCACATGGCCTGCCTACAGTCCCTCAGCTGGTAAATGGGATCCAAACGAAGTCCCCTCGGTCCCTTTATCTGGCAGCGGTCAGCGGGCTTCATCCTGTGTCCTCTGCCCTCTAGGCCACCCCTTCTCCACTGGTACAGCCCTTAATAAGTGGCCCCTCAGCAGGCGGGCCAAAGGCACCCTCCGGCTGCTGGACCTCAGGACCCCTGGCTGAGCTCTGGTCCTTCCTTCCCCGGGGCCCTCTTCGCCTTCCCAGGGCCTCTTCTCAACCCCTCCCCCGGGGTCACCCCCCTCTGGCCGGGTCCCCTCCTCATCCCCCCCCCGCCCCTCTCTGGCCGGGTCTTCTCATTCCCCTTCCCCCACGCCCCGAGCTCTCCCTAGTGAGTCCCCTCCTCATCCTCCCCCCCACCCCGCCCTTCTCTGGCCGGGGCTCCCTCTCGTCCCCCCGTCCACCCCCCCCTCCCCCCGGCGCCCAGGGAGGCCGCTCTCACCCGAAGAGGCCGGAGAAGAAAGACTGCGAGTTCTTGACCTTGCGCTCTGCCTCGGCCAGCAGCGCCAGAGCCTCTGCTTCCTTGCCGGAGTTGTCCATGGTGAGGAGGCGGCTCGAGTCTCCGGGGCAGGCCGGCCTCGGCAGGGCAGGGCCGAGTAGAGCCGGGGAGCCACAACAGATGAGGGCTAGGACGACGGACGACGGAGGACGGCGGCAGACGCAAAGGCACGTGATCCGCACAAGCCAATCACCGGCTCCTCGAGATCCTGGGCCCCGCCCCCCCAACGCACACCCCCTGCTTCACCTCCAGCTTCGTATGGACGCATGACCCGTATCCACCAATCGCTGTCCGCCGTCCTGTCTTTGGACCCGCCTCCTGCCGTCCTACAGCACGTGACTCAACGCCTGGCATCAGGTGACAGCTTCCTAAATTTTACCCCCATCCCGATATCCCGCCTCATGCCCGCCCCCTTGCCCCGGATGTTGTGGTTATCAGAAGAAAAGGGGTGGGAAGGACATTCCACGCAGGGCGCGTGCGCTAGGGGAAGATAAGCTTGAGCAGAATGGCACGCGCCTTTGATAGGAGCAGTCAGGGCATATTGAAGTGGGCGAAAAAACAATGCATCCGCTGGACCGCCACGCAAAGGCGCATGCTCAGGCTGCTCGGCCTGTTTATTCAACGTCTTCGCCCCCTGTTGACCAAACCGACGAATAAAGGAGAAAAGCCTTGGTCAGGGCGGGCCGCAGGGCGCATGCGGAGAGCCGAGCAGCTGCTTTCTGAGTGCGCACTCGGAAAAGGCCGAGAGCGGCCGCGAAGGACTGACCCCTGGTGGCCCCCTAGGACAGAGCCCCGTTGGGCTGGCGGGAGCGTCCCAGGGCCGGAACGCGGGTCTGACCTGCGGCCGCGCAAGACACGGCGCAGGGGGTCCGAGCCGGGCCGTGCTCCCACAACGCGCTGGACCTCAACAAAGTCCTCCCCATCCCACCCGAGGCTTCCTCGGAGGGTTTGTTGGCGTGGGGGTCTCCCCCCTCCGTCCAGCCCGAGGCTTGGGGCTGCTCTGATGGGGCCCCCCGCCTCGCTCACGTGACGGATCGGGAGCCCTCCGTCGGCTCCCGCCGCGTTCTGTCTGCAGAGCGGTGATTCCGGGGAGCTCTTCCTCCGACAGCGCTCAGACCCCCCGGGGAGGCCGCCCAGCCCTCGGTGCCTCCTCTGCCCCGCGCCAGGTGGCCTCCCGTGCACTAGCTCCCACTGCCCCGACCATCCCCGTCTGTGGTCATCTCTCCTTCCCTCAGTTAAACTCCCTTGCTCCCACACACGGGCTGCTTGAGGTGGGAGCCCGAAGCCCCTTGTCCCCACGAGCCTTGCCTCATGCTTTACTGACAAGGGTGAGGCTCCTGTGGCCTTCCTCTTCCTCAGCGGCTATCAGTCTGGCCCTCCTGCCCCCCCATCACTGCTCTCACATGACGAAGCAGCCTTCCAAGGCTGACCTTCTACCTATTCCAGTGACCCCACTTCATCCCCTGTCATCCCCACTCATTTTCAATCTCTACCTGTCTACTGGCTTATTCCCTACCACCCACAAACGTGCCCGTGGCTCTCCTATCCTGGAAAAATCCCGACTCGATCCTTTCATCCCCACTCCCTGTCATCCCTTTGGCCCTGACAGTCCGGATCCGGACCCTATCATCCCACTGACACTGCGCTCTCCAAAGTCACCAGTGGCCTCTCCTCCGTCTTCATCCTTCCGGACCTCTCTGCAGCCATTGGCCCTGCTGTTCACGCTCTCTTCTCCAGGTTTTCAAGACACCTCCCCCCCCCCCCAATAGTTCTGCCTCTCTGACGGCTCCTTTGCTGGATCACCTCCAGATGACACCCAGCACTGTCCTGGGCCCTCTTCTCTTCTCCCTTTACACTACTTCATGCTTGGTGATCTCATTGACTCCCATGGATTTAATTACCATCTCTATGCTGATCAACTTGGGCAGCTAGATGGCACAGTGGATAGGGCACTAAGCCTGGAGTCAGGAGGACCTGAATTCAAATATGACTTCAGACACATTCTGGCCCAGGATGATCCTGGGCAAGTGATTTAACTCTGTTTACCTCAGTTTCCTCCTCTGTAAAATAAGCTGGAGAAGGAAATGCAAACCCCCTCAAGGGTTCAATGAAAAGTTGGACACACTGAACAACAATGCTGGTAGCTCTCAGATCTACCTTTCCCTCCCCAGCCTCTCTGCCGACCTCGTCTCACACCCCCAGGTGCCTTTTAGAGAGTCTCAAACTGTACGTCCAGTAGACACTTGGACTCGACGTGATCTTCCCCCAGCCCTCCCTGTGCCCTGGTACTGTCAGGGGCACCACCCTCCTCCCAGGCCCTCAGGCTCACAGCCCAGGAGCCACCCCGGACTCCTCACTAGCTCTCAACACTGCCCCCCCCATCCCAGCCGTCCACTTCTCTCACACACCGTCCTTCCCCTCCCAGTGCAGGCCCTAGCCACGTCACACCTGGACCACTCCCAACACCTGCTGAATGTGCAGGTCTTGTTACGCCCCCCTCCAGTGGCTCCAGAAGCAAATACAAAACGTTGTCTGGCCTTTAAAATTGTCCATAGCCTGGCAACCACCTTCCTCCCACCACACACTCCTTGACCCAGTGACCCCCAGCCTCCTCCTGGCTCTGAGCATCCTCTCTGGCCCTCCCCGGGCCTGCTCACATCTGCCTCCCAGCCCGTCTGCTATGGGAAGCCTTCACCGAGCCCTCTTTGTTCTAGTGCCTTCTGCTAATTATTTACTCGTGTATCTAGCTTGCTTTGTATGTTTGTATATGCTTTGTAGGTTGTCTCTCCCACTAGACTGTGAGCTCCTCGAAGGCAGGGGCTGTCTTGTGCCTCTTTTTGTATGCCCAGGGCTTGGCACACAGTACCTGCCACAGGCACTGACCTATACCAGGTGCCTATTCTTCCTCCCCACTCTTGCTGGCTGATGGAAGCCTCTCCTGATGCCCCAACCCATATCGCCCGTTTCTCCTACAATGATCCCCTTTACTCATGGGGGTAAATGTCTTCATCCTGGTGCTTCCCATCAGAACTGAAGCTTCTTAGGGCAGGGGCTGTGTGCGGTTCTGTCTTACACCTCCAAGGTCCTGCACGGGGCCTGGCACACAGTAGGTGCTTCATAAATGCTCAACTGAACTGGATGACAAAAGGCAGGTCAGAAGGCAGCATGCCAAGAGCCATTCAAAAACCCAATTTAATACGCTATACAGTAGGCACGTACAAAAAAAACAATGTACAAGTCACCACAGAACCTTGGACTCAATGCAGAGGGCTCCTTCCTGCGTGAGGGAGGCCCTGACATGTGATCGCTATAGAGTTGTCTTCCCACTGATTATCTGAAATCTTGGCCTTTTCCAACAAAAATAACAAACCCCAAAACTCAGGCAAAGATTTAAGAGCTACTCAGATTCAACTTTTTTGTCTTTTTCTCCCCTCCCTTTCCCCCCAGAGAGATATGTTGGAAAAAGGGGAGAGGTCACCCAACTGAATGATACAGAGCCTCGGAAGCCCACACCATACAGCCATAACAATCATGTGATGACTCTGCTTTCCCTGCCCCGTTCCCAATTATCGCCCCACATAGGACGTGGCTTTCCCATCAGACACCTGGGTATCCAATGGGACAGCAAAGAGAAGGTATGGCCACGCTGGGGGCACGCTCACTATTGGACCAAGCCTGGGAGAGACGGGAGGGCTCCCGGCGGCTGCCCTCTGGTCGGAGGCCCGGGCCAGGCAGGCCCTCCCCAGGATCCTAGCCTTCTTCCCATCACCACCGGAGGGGACCCCCCTCCGCCCCAGCTTCCTCCTCATCTTCCTCATCTCGTGGCTTCACAGGCCACTTCATTCTGACCAGAGGCTCCACATGCTCCTGCAGGCGATGACGCTTCATGTGGGCATTTCGACTCTTAATCTTGTCAAACACCCTGAAGAGAGAGGAAGGAGAATGCACATCCTAGAGCCTCAGACGACAAATGGACAGAGGGCCAGCAGGGGTCTGGGGAGGTTACAGGGGATAAATACCTCTCACACTCTCGGCAGGGAAAAATGCCCTGGCTCTCAGTACTCCCTGGGGGCTCGGGTGTCCTCTTGGGGCCAGTGGTTGGGCTAGAGGTGACACTGGCTTCTCTCTTGTAACTCTTGGTTTTGATCTTCAGCTCTGGGGCTGGCTGGTGACTGAGCCGGTCTCGAGGGCTGCAGGTCACCTGAGGACAGGAGATGCTTACAATCCAGCCCCTCTGGGAAGCACAGACTCCAGAGACACAAGACCCCTACCAAAGGAAGCAACTGGCCCCAAGGTGGCAAGAGGGGGCAAAGGGGTGGGGTTGAAAAGTCAGGAAGCGGGTTACCCCTTCCCTTCAGGACCCCCAACCAGGGACAGTGGAGAGCCTCAGAGCCCCAACCCCTCAGGTTTCCCAGAGCGTCCTACCTTTTCTTCTGTCCTTTCTACCTCATCCTGCTCTCTCTTGATCCTCTTTTCTAGCCCTGGGGCTCGGCCGCAGTCAAACTTGATCATTTTTTTCCAGATATAATAATACTCAACACACTGGGCCACATTCTTTGTCTGAATCTAGGAAAAGAAAATGGAAGCAGGCCACAGAACATGCATAAGTGGCCTCACAACCGCCTCGACTTTGCCAACCAACTCTAGACCCCGCCCCCCAGGACGTTTCAAGCCTGCAGAGCTGTTCGGTCCTAGAAGCCACAGGTCAGCCCGTCAACTTTCCAGCATGGCGTGGGAGAAAGAACACTGGACTGGTAGCCACACGTCATGCCTGACTCTCTGAGCCTACCTGGGGTTTTCTCGGCAGAGATACCAGAGTGGTTTTGTCACTTCCTTCTCCAGCTTATTTTACAAATGAGAAAACTGGGGCAAAGGGGGTGAAGTGATTTGTGTCTGAGGCCAGATTTGAACTCGGAGCTAAGTCGGCCTGTAGTCCGAGACCCAAGATTCAAAGCCCAGCTCCACTCCTTCCTCCCAGGGTACCCTGGGGCGAGTCATGTTGACTGCTGGGCATTTCTGAGACTCCCAATTCTGTCTGGTGTTTGCGGCTTCTTAGCCCCTCTGAATCCCAGTGCTTTCCCCCAGGGAATGATTTCCTTGCCTGTTGTCTCCACTAGTAGTAGTAGTAGACTGCAAGCCCCTTGAAGGCCAGGGTTGTCTTCTGCCTCTTTCTGCACGCCCAGTGTTTAGCACGGTGCCTGGCAGGCGTATAGTACGCACTTATTAAATATTTACTCACTGACTGTCATTTCATTCTGGAATACCCAGGGCTGAATGAAGAGAATGGGAAAGACAGAGCTGGGCCCGGCCTCAGACACTTACCTGCTGCATAACCATAGGCAAGTCACTTCACCTGTCTGCCTCAGCTTACCCAGCTGCAGAAATGTGGATAACAACAGCCCCTGCCTGGCAGGGCTGTTTGTGGCTTCTACATAAATCTGTTGTTGTTGATGCCGTCATCATCAGGCAGTGACCAAAGGGCCGTTCCCTGCCGCCAGTCCCACCATCCCAAGGTCCTCCTTCTGCTGACCAAGCTTCCCACTATGCAGCCGATGTCCCTGGTTAACAGGGGCATCCCCCAGGCAGGGAGAGATGACTCCGAAGCGTCACAACCTGAGGCCTTGTGACAATGAACGCTTACCGTCTTGTGTATCAGATAAAAGTCCTTCTTATGGGCACAGAAAGCCTTCTTAAACAGCCTCTTCTCCACAGGAGTCCAGATGTCTGAACCTGCCAAACACAGGAAAAAAGTGTGATGCTCCCTTTCAGCCACCAAGTCGTATCACACAGACCAAAAAGGAGCAGCCCCATTACTGAGAAGCCCCAAGGGAACTGAGTCCTAACCCACCTCTCCTGTCTCCCCCTACCCCAAGAAGCACTCCCTCCAGCCCTCTGCACCAAGCTCCAGGAGGCCCACGCTAAGGACCACATGCCCCTGGGAGGGTGGTGGGGCCCAGAAGCCACGGGGAGCTCTTTATGGAATGTGGTGGAGATGGCCATGACCCAAGAGGACACACAGAGCTCTGGCAGAGCCGCCTCCTCTCCAGCAGGGACCTGGACCCGCTAAGACGTAGCCACCTACCTGTGTAACGATAATCAGCAAGAGGATGAGATGGAGCCTTCTGGGGTCCTCTGAGTAACAGGGTCTCCAGAGCATCCTAGAACCAAGGTAGGTCACCTGATGAGGATCCCCCCCAAGTGACAAGCACCTTGCTTTACACACCTCTAATCCCATGATGTTGGGCAGTTTAGTTCCTTATACCCTGACCCCCTCTCACCACCCCTGAGGTCCTTGAGGGTGAAACCACACCTCCATTAAGTTCAGCTGTCACCCCCAGCACCCCAAGCCCTGGCACTCAGCAGTTATTCTAGAAGGGGCCCATATCTTTAATTCAACATGCACTTGAGCACCTCCTTAGGCTAGGGACATGCTCTGCCCTCAAGGAGGAGGGAAACCATGCACCAGCACAAAGGAGTTTCTGGAGGAAGCCCTCTGGGGCAGGGAGCAGGGTGTGAGCTGAGCCTCCCGGCAGATGCCAGAGGCACAATGCTGCTGGGACACAGGAGGCCAGTGTAGCTGAACCAGGACCAGGGCCTGGAAGCAGAGCCCAGAGCCCGTGGGTAAAGGGAGCACAAGGCACAAAGGAGTGGCATGGTCACGCTCGCACAGGCATGTGAAGGAAGGGTGGAAAGGAGAGAGGACTGAGGCAGAGCAGCCAATCAGTGAGGAAGTTCCTGGGGTAGTCCAGGGGACGGGGGTGAGGTGGACTACTGGACTAGCCACAGGAGAAGAGGGAAGGGAATGGATGTGAGCTACGTTACAAAGATACAAAGCAACCAGACTTGTCAATTGAATGGCTGTGGGGTGAGAGAGAAGGGAGACAGGGAAGCCCTGGATGGCTGGGTGGACAGCGGGGTCCCCAACAGTGAAGAAGAGGGGAGCCCTTAGGGTAGGGGTCGGGAGATAAGAAGTTCCGTTTCGGACACAGTGCACTTGAGATCTCCCCAGGACATCCAGGCGAGCTCAGAAGATAGGAGCGTTTCCCCAAGGCTAGACCCTGGCATTCCCCAGGCCGTGGTTTATTTTCTATCGTTGCCACGAAACCCACAGAATTAGGCCAAATCCAAGCCCAGACGAGCCTATGTTTGGGTGCTTTGGGGCTGATCCCTGAAATCGGGGATAAAAGGGGGAGGCTGAGTACCACCTGAATGAATTTCTCAAAGCCAGGGAGAGAGGTGTCATGGGAAAGAGAGGTGGGATGGGACCCCTCTCCAGCTTTCCCAGGGCTTTTCTCCTCTTGCTCTCACACTGGTCAGCCCCTTACCCGGATATCACCCTGGGCTTCATGCAGGCAGTGTAGAGCGAGTTCCAGATTGGTCCCCCCTCCTGGCATTACACTGGAGCAGGCCACGTTACACAGTTCAGTCACTGTGGTCATAATGGGAGAGTGGGAGGAAAGGATTCAAGAAAACCAAAGATCACAACAACAGAACCAAAGCAAACCAGTGCGCCTCTTGACTCACCCCAGGCAGGTCCCTTGCCACCTCCCTTGGCCAACTCTGGGGAGCCCACATTAAGGAATGGGAAGGAGACAATACAGAGATGACAGAATCCCTGCTCCCTGGACTCTAGCCAAAGATCCCTCTGGGTACCATGCCCACACAGAGGTGGGCAAGACAGTCACACTAATTCCAAAGCGGGCTCCCAGTTAGCTAAACATTTAAAAATGGCCACTGGGCCCTGCTCTTTGGCCAAAGGGAAAAGTGTGGAATGACCTTGCTCTTGGGGGTGGAGAGGGAAATGGGGAGACCCCAAAGTTGGCCACCTCTGTCTTGAGTATCCGGGTTGGTCATCACATCTCCCCATGGTTGCCACACCAGCGAAGCACCATGCTGGTCACCTTCTGCCAGAGAACTCTCTCTGGGCTTTGGGATCTCTGCCTGAAACCGGCTCCCTATATTGATATGTCTGAAATGGGAACAATGCATATAATAACCAAGGCATAACTGAAAGCTACAGAGCAGTCAGTGAAGGAGTGTGCGGCTCTCAGGCCACATTCTCCCCACACAGACCCGTGTCTATGAGATGGCCAGATGATCCGTCACTGCTGACAGTGACTGTCTCCCCCATTCCCAACTCTCAGACCCTCTGGATGTTGAAGGCAGGTGAGGTACCTACATATGGCCCTCCTACGTTTGTGCAGTCTGCCTCCACACCTCTGTGTCATTCCATTGTCAAAAGCACTCCATGAGCCCTACCTCCATCGCCCACAGCCTCCTGAGTCAAGTCTACACTCCGCAGCCCACACCTCATGCCCTCCCTAATATGGCTCCAACTGACCTTGCTGCCCTACCTCACCTGCTTCCCGTATGCAGCCCCTACACCCAAGCCAAATGGAAGTGCCTTCAAGGAATGGGAAAGAGACAACACAGAGATAAGAGAACCCCTGCTCCCTGGACTCTGGCCAAAGATCCCTCTGGGTACCATGCCCATGTAGAAGTGGGTAAGATGGCCACACTAATTCCAGAATTCCTAACTCTCAAATATGTTCCACTCTCCTGTCTCTGAGGCTTCGCTCTGTCTTCCCTGATCCCTCATCCGTCCACACAGAACCCTCCCTCTGCATGGCCATCGCTCTTGCGTCTCACTTACCTCAGCATGTGCCGCAATGGCACACCTGGCCCTCCAATCTGTCCTCACCCACCTCACCTGGCTCATCAGCAATGACAAGGGGGTGAGAGGGCGAGGGGACTGGCATGTCCCCCAGGCTCTGACCATGCCACTCCCCTCCTATTCATTCCAGTGGTTCCCTCCGGCTCTCACACAAAAGCTTTCAAACCTCCCTCCCAGCTCCCCTCACTCCTCTGCAATCCTGCTAACTGACCTTGCCCCGTTCCTCCCACCTGGCCCGCCACATCCACACCTCTCTCCTGCCTGTCCCTGAGGCCTACAGTGCGAGCCTTCCTCCATCACCTCCACCCCATGGAATCCCCCTCTTTCTTTGAGCAGCAGCTCAAGGCACCAGCTTCTACATAAAGGCTTCCCAACTATGGCTGTAGCTCTCCTTTTTTTTATCACTAGTCCATATTCACTTATTTTGTACATCCTCATCGTCTGCACCTCCAGCAGCACCCAGCACTATACCTGACACCTGAGACAAAGTGCTACAAATGCTTGTGACTGGCTGGCTGACCCACTGGGCAGTGAGTGCCCTCTTCACCTCAGCCCCAGCCAGCCCAAGGTCACCTGGTACTGACTGCGAGGCACTCCCCGGGGTGAGGAGTGATGGCCTGAGCACAGCCCCCCCCCCCAGCTCCCTGGGCTCACGCCTTCTCCCAGAATCCCTCTTGGACCACACAGCCAAAGACAGGGAGAAGGCTCTCTACCCCCCCAGGCTTTCTCAAGTGTCCGTATCATCTTTCATTCTCACTCACGGCTCAATGCTGATCTTGGTGTTGTCTCTGACCACAGCAATTCCAAAAGAGCCATCCGCTTGGTCTAGAAAACACAGGACCAAAGATGTTATGCGGGAAAGCTCCTTCTTCCCTGTCCTCAGGTAACACTTCTGACCCTGTCTAAACTCAACGGCAAAACTTCATTTTCTCTTTCATAAGAGAGAGACTGGGTAGCATCACCTTGAAGGCCCCTTTCCCAGCTCTAACATTACACATTCTACAGCGCTGATGTTCTAGGCCCTCAGGTCCCTTCTGATACAAACATTCTGTGTTCCAAGGCCACCTGCAGCTTTGTTAGGCTTCGGCTCTACCAGCGAGATCTCTGCCTCGCCGGCCCCCGACCCCTGAGACAGGCCTCTTGTGAGCCCAGACTAGGGGCCACATACCCCAAGGAAGGGCTAGGGGCGTCTGGCCCATGAGGGTAGCTCTACTTCCACCTGCTCATCAATCGTGGTGCCGGGAGGTTCTTCTCACTCACCCAGCACAGCCCCATAGAGCCCATCGGGACCAGAATGAGTGGATGTGGAGAAGAGAGTGTTGAAATACAATCCAGACCCTTCCCGGATCGGGCTGAGCATCGGGGGTGGTGTATATGGAGAACACTGGAATAAACCCTTCAGGAGATGGTCAACCAGAAACACCGGGGAGCGTAGACAGCTCTGATAGCAGCCTCCAGGGCCGGGCTGGATCTCCCCAAAGCCAGAAGGTGGAGGAGGGATGAACAGCGCCTTGGGCTGGGGGCGTTTTTTTCTTTTTCTGTGTTGGCTGGTTTCCTTAGTGTCTCTCTCTTCTCGGCCAGCCCTCTCATGTCCCTAGAGAATGAAAACATTGAGAGCCTCAACTCATATTTCCATAGCATTTGAGGTTGAAATATCCATTTTGCAGATGAGAAAACTGAGGTGTAAGAGGGGTGAACACAGTGCCCCAGGTCACAGAGCCTGTGAGTGCCAGAGCTGCGATTGCAAATCTTTGCTCATTCTTCTATGCCAATCTGTGCCAGGATCACTACACTACCAAAAGCCAGGAGAGGCCATGCTCGAGCGCCCGAGAAGGGAGGGCCCTAGGCAATCCTGCCCCTCACCTGAGGGCTACCCTCAGGGAACAAGAGCCTGGCTCCAATTAAGGAGCCAACAATTACTAGCTGTTCAGAACCTGCTTCCTCCCCTCCCAGGACTGCCTGTGGCAGCCAGGAAAGCACTCTGCACCCACTCTCAAGTGTCACGCGAGCGACAAGCGAGTCTGCCGACTGCATTGTTTTCCTCTTCCCTCTGATGAAAGGGGAATGCCAAGTCCCCCAGTCCTAGGACATTCCTGCGGGGAGGTGAAGTCGCTGCAAACCCACCCTCCAAGGGTGCCGCTGCTCTCCAGAGGTCAGCAGCGACCCGCCGGAAATGTCTGAAGAGGGCGCACCCACCTTGGTCAGGCTCCCCAGAGGTCGGCTCCCAGCTGGCACAGGGACAGACACAGGGGTCACCAAAGGTGCTGCAGCAAGGTCTTCCAAAAGCCTCTTGACTACTGGTGGGCTTTGCCTATCTCCCTCTGGCCTCAGGACCAATCTCTGGGGTTTGCAGTATTCTGCACTGTACAACTAAACCCAAGAAATAAGATGTCTCTTTATACAGCAGGCATGGCAAGAAAAGAAAGAATATGCATATTCATGAAAGTCCAAAGCTCTTTCTCCTCTGTTCAATGCTTCACAAGCAAACAAGGGATGACCCCTGTTTTCTAAGGAAGCACACAGACCCAAGACTTGGGCCCAAGCCAGGGACAGGGCTCATGCTACAGAGCTGTGGCCAAGAGCTTCCAAGCCCTGGTTCTAGGAGCCCCATCACCACTATCAGTCTCTCCCCTCCACTCGAACTGTCATCTGCCAAAATTTCACATCCTCTGAGGTCAATTATACTCCTCCTCCCAGGATCTTTCTTTAGCCCAAAGAGTGTGAGGCCAGCCCTGCAGCTACCCCGTGACTAGTAAGAAGCCTCACCGGCAGGGAAACCACCAGGGTCCTACTCCCCCCTCACCTGCTGCTCCTGTCTCCCTCTAGGCGATGGCCACTGGTCACTGTGAAAACACATGTGGCTGCTCAGCCCCTTCTTGGTGTAAAACATCTGGCTGCAGTTCTTGCAGACATAAGTGCTTCTGGGTTCTGTCCAGTCCGGAGAAACACCATTGAGCTGGTTACTAAGGGCAGAAATCACCAAGGAGTCACCCGGTGGCCACGACCTTCAAAGTCTGCTCAGGCAGCAAGCTTCGGGGATGATCCAAAGGGGAATTTAGAACCTGATAGCCCCATGCCCCTTTGTTAGCTCTCTCTCCCTCTCTCTTTGTACAATTTCACAGACACAGTGAATTTCCTTCAACCTCTGTGTCCCTCTAGGAGGATGGAAGCTCCTGGTAGCTTCAGCACACAGAACATGCTTCACAAACATCTACTGAACTGGACTGACTTCAGGTCCACTTCTCGGCCCACTCCCTTCCTAACCCAAGGAAACACTCATAGCCCACAAGGCCCTGCTGAAGGCACTTCTGCACAGGGGAGCAGACAGGACTTCAGGCTTACCAGCCAGTCACCACGCTCTCTTCCCTCATGGGATGGGGCAGCCTGTAGATATTCCCGCCCTGCAGATTAGAGAAGACATCTCAATGAGTGTGTCAGAAATGGGGAAAGGCTGAAAGCCAGAGAAGGCTCATGGTCATTTCAAAAGGAGACAAGAATGATGGGTAGGGAGGTTAATTATTATTGATACAGTACCCATTTCAAGAGTGGTTTATAGTTTGTACTTTCCTCAACAATCCTGTGAGGCAGGGGGAAAAAACATTTTTATCCCCATTTGCCTGATTAAAAACCTGAGGCTCAGAAATGGAATGACCTGGGGCAGCTAGGTGGTGCAGCGGATGGAGCACCAGCCCTCAAGTCAGGAGAACCTGAGTTCAAATCCGGCCTCAGACACTTGACACCCTGGGCAAGTCACTTAACCCCACTGCCTAGCCAAAAAAAAGAAGTGGAATGACCCGAGGGGCTAGGACCTGCATCCAAAGATGCAATTTTCTCTCTCCATCTCACCAGTGGGTTTGAACAAAGAACAAAAGGTGCCTCCATTTTTTTTTCTGCCTTTCATCTTGCTTTTTAAAGGTGTCACAACATGGGGAAGCTGAGTGAAATGAGGAGCCTGCAGCCCCGCTCCTGGCTCTGACACTGACTAAGGGCTGGCTCCCTTTAACTCCCATCTTATACAGGAAGCCTTCTCTCCCTTAGTCATTTCCCACCGGTCCTGTGCACAGCTAGCTGTGTCCACGCTGCTCTGCACATGGACCTCCCCCAGGAGATGACGAACTCCAGGAGGACAGAGGCCGTCTTTGGCTTCTCTCTGTAACCCTCCCACTTAGCACAGCGCAGGTGCACAGGAGGCCCTTAACAGATGTGTACTGAGCCTCAGTTTCCTAAAGCTCCCAGGGCTCTCTATAAACCCTGAAGCGCTACAGAAGCGGGGATGATGATGATACTGTTAATAAAGTCTAATGCCTGCAGGAAGAGCCAAAAAGAAAAAGGAGGGCAGAAGAAAGGGCAGGGAGATGCTGGGGAATTCTCCATCACGGCTTAGAAAGCCCTACACCTCTGGAAGAAAAGCGCACCCCCCACCCCATCCCAAGCACAAGCCCGAGGCGGGAGGGAAAGAAGCGAGCACCTGGATCCTGTTGAAGATGGTCAACTTGGCCTTCACGTCCTGCGAGGAGGGCTCTGCCGAGGTTCCGGCCGAGGAGAAGGAAGCCATGGCCACCTGGCTTGGAGAAGCCGCACAGCCCATATCCATCTTCACTTTGTCCTTGCGGAAGCTGGAGAATCGCTGCGCTCTGGTGCTACCAGAGAAGAGTCGACAGCCCATTTCTCTGGCACAGCCCTGACTCTTGTCACCTTTGATGGCCGAGGGGGCACCGTTCTCTGTCTGAGACAGCTTTGAATGGAACTGGCCTCCAGCTGGCTCTTCCACCCCCAATGGAGATGGTCGAGGATGTGCTGGGGAAAAACCATCCCCCAGACCTATGCTCCCTTTTGCTGACCGCAACTGCTTGGTCATAGAAACATCTGGATTCCCACAAGGGTCCAGGGATGACCCAAGGGAAGGCAATGCAGGGTCCACTTTTGGACCTCCCTTGGGGTCCTGCCTTGTGCTTCCAGGTGAAGATTCTCTTGAAAACAGGGCCTGGGTCTTTCTCCTGCGGGCCGGCGACCCCTCCTGCTCCGGGTTCCCCGGGACAGCATGGAAGTCAGCCCCTGGAGCCAAAGGCTGCTGCCACACGCCCTGCAGCGGTTTCAGCAAAGCCTGCTTGGTCTCTGGGAGTGGGAGCTGAGAGGGAGCTGCTGCTACCTGGGTGTGGGAGAAGATCCGCTGGGATTTGGTGACCATTTGAAACACCTGCATCTGCTCATGGCTCACCAGGGACTCCTGGGACTTGAGAAAGAGCTGCCTGAAGAGTGGGGTGCCCTCAGGGGGGAGCCCACTCGGCTTCTGCACATCCTGGAGGCCCAGCTCCCCAGGGTTCTGCCAAGGGAAGGGCTCACAGTCACACTTGTTCCTCTGGGCAGGCCAGGAGCTGTCCTCCCCACCAGCGAACCTGGCATCACTCAGGGTGTCCCCTGGTGCCTTCAGAAGCGTGGAAGGGAAAGAAAGCACATCCTCTGGACCGATGCCTGCTGGGGCAGCTAAGGGGTCCAGCAGCGGGGACACAGGCCTAGGCCCGGGCTCAGGGCCCTCCCGGGCAGGGACCGGAGTTGGCTTGTGGACAACATAGACACTGTTCCCTTTGCTCTTGGGACAGCTGGGCAGGTTCCTGACCCACTGGAAGTTGTGACTAGATGGCTGGGAGCTCGCTGAGACTGCCTGGCCTCGGAAGACAGGCAAGCAAGGCAAGGTCCCCCCATCGGACCAACTTTCCAGTCCAGCAGATGGGAGTGGAAGAAAAGGCAGTTCTGAATCAGCTGGGTCAGAGGCACCGTTCTCTCCCCCTGGGGCCATGGCTGCCAGATTCCCTGAATGCATAACTGTGAACATGTCAGAGGGGGCCGCATCCTTTCTTGGGGGCCGAGTTTCCTCGGGGGGCTCAATGCCCAGGGCTCCTGCAGAGCCTGCGCTGGGTGGACAGGGGCACAGGGAACCCCTCCCATCAACATCTGGGGCCCCCGCAGCAGCCGGGCCGGGTGAGGGGAGCTTCTGGTGGACGATGCTGCTCACGATGCACCGAAGGAGGTCTCGGTTGGGCAGCAGGGAGCTGGGGGAGCGGGCCTCAGATGGCATCAGGGTTCGGAGGGTGCTGGGCCCAGCCTGGCTGGCTGCCTCGTGAGCATGAGGCGAATCCCCACAGGCTTCCTCTTCCGGAGGGGCCTCCTTCAGGATACATAGACCATGCTGCACCTCGTAATGTCGGCGCAGGGAACGGTAATCGCAGTAGCTCTTGCTGCAGCCCTGCTCGATGCACACAAAGGGTTTGGTTTTCTGATGGGTCAGCATGTGTCCGGTCCTGGAGCCAGAACACAAAAAGAAGAATCAGTGAGACAGCTGGGAAACACTGATTTTGTCCCCCTAGAGAAAGGGATAGATGTCCCAATCTGAAACGTCAGCAAACCGCACTGCGCAGCTAGCCACTTCTGAGCCCCACGAGAGGCAGACGAGCTACCTTGACCCTGACTGACCCGGCACAGAACCGGGGCCGAGCTTTACCAAGGACTCTTCTGAACACTCCCACCAGGAGGACACAAAACAGCCACGTGGACACAAGTCCTCTGTAACACATCAAGTGTGTAAGAGAAGCCTGCCTGTACTCCCAGTGAAGACATGGCAGGTCTGGGCACTAGACTCTGGAATGACTGAGGAGCAGAATGAATTCATGGCTATTGGAGCCCCTGAGAAGGACACGAAGCAAAGCCTGGGGATGAAGCCATCATCAGTCCCCGGCCACATTCTGCCTGCCTTCAAGGTTTTGCTGGGCTGAGAAAACATGGCACCACCACATCCACCAAGAACAAAAGGAACGTTTCTGAGATCTGTGGGAAAGATTCCCTTTGGAAAGCTCACTAATCAGGCCCCGTGGGAAGAAGCGGCTCTTCTTCTGACTCGATGGGGAGGCACAGCAGCCAGGCCCTGAGAGTCTCTTCCTGGGTTCAACATGGGAGCCTCAGAATGTCGTGGGTCTTCCCTGGTGCAGGTAAGCAGGTTTCTCCTGCAGGGCTAACATCACTGGTATTTTTGGTACCCCAGGCACCCTCCCCCCGGCCCAATTTCTCGTGGCATTTTGTCCAGACCTCTCTTTTTACTGTATTTCACTCTCCTGTAGTGGTCATTGGCATACCCTACCTCCCTTCTGCGGACTCTAGACTACGTGGCATACAGCAGATGCTTAATAAACACTTGCTGACTGACTGACTTGGTATCCCCCGGGCCTAGCAGAGGGATCACTATCAGGAGACATTTCCTACACGCTTGCTGAATTGAACTTCTGGCCTCAGGAGCCAGGTGAAGTGAGAGAGACCCTGCTCAAAGGCACTACGTATGCTGCTCAGACCACCCAAGCCCTGTCAGCGAGCCTGAGCCACAGCTATACAAGTGATGGAGGCCAAAAGGCCAGAGATGCTGTTGCCTTGGACAGCACCAAACTGGCTCCTGAGGAGGAGGAGAGAAGGGGCAGACCCCGGAAGAAGCCACCACCCTCCCCCACTGCCGCCCACCATCCCTCCAAAGGGTGCTGGGCCTCGCCACACTCGCACATACAGGTGGTCCTGGCGCTTAAATGCCTTGCTGCAGATTTTGCAGACGTGCTTCCTCTCCTGGCTGTGAGTCAGGTAGTGTTTGCTAAGAGAGCTGGCGCTGCTGAACACCTTTCCACAGAGGCTGCAGTCCAGGAACGGGTTCTGGGGGGAGCTGTGCTGCCGCTTTCCTTTCCTGGCACTGCCCGAGCTGGCCCTGCCTCCTTCGTCCGCCTCTTTAGATGCTTTAAGGACGCCCAGTCCCAGGTCTAGATGGAGGGAGAGGAGCAAGTTACAGGGTGGGGAGGGAGGAAAACCAGAGCTGGGCCCAAACTCTGCCTCAGGGAAAGCGTTGTGAGAGAGCTCCCCGGCCCCAAGCCAGCGGCCCTGGGCAAGTGTGCCTCAGTCTCCCCATCTGCAAAATGAGGGGCTAAAAGGCTATACAGTTTGTAAGGGCTCTCTCTGACCAAGGCTCATCCTGGACAGCTTTTCCAGTTCTTCAACCCAATGTGAGGGAAGGCTAACAAAGGGACTGCGTTTGGCAGGCCAGACTCGCAGGCGGCCAGCGCCGCTGCCTGTTTTAGTTCTGGAGTCCCATACAGCCATGTGACCGTGCACACATCGATCCAAGATGCCTTATGACAGCCTGGTCCCCAAAGATGTGCTCACAAGCAGCACACGCTCACATGCACTCTCTCTCTCCCCTCCCCCCCCTCCCTCTCCTCTCCCTCCCTCTCTCTCCCCCCCCTCCTCCTCTCTCTCCCCCTCCCTCTCTCTCCTTCTCTCTCTCCTCTCCCTCCCTCTCTCTCCTTCTCTCTCTCCCCTCCCCTCTCTCCCTTTCTCCTTCTCTCTCTCTCTCCCCCCTCTCCCCCTCCCTCTCTCTCCTTCTCTCTCTCTCCCCTCCCTCTCTCTCCTTCTCTCTCCCTCTCTCCTTCTCTCTCTCTCTCTCTCTCTCCCCCTCTCCCCCTCCTCTCTCTCTCTCTCTCTCTCTCTCTCTCCCCCCCCCACCTCCCTCCCTCCCTCCCTCTACTCCAGCCAGATTCAATTCTGTTGAAGACACCTAAGGAAGGGGTCATGAGCGCACCAGGCCGTTGGCTCAGCTTAGTAGAGTTCTGGAAGGTGTTTCAAATTTTTTGCCTATGGAAAACCAGCTAGAAAAAGGGAGGCAGATAAGACCCCCCCCCCAAATGCTGTCTGGTCCTCTTTGAATCCAGTTTCCTTCAACTTTCTCCTACAACAACAGTGTTTTTCTCTTTTTTGTGAAGGCCTAATTGCTGATGGTGAAATTACAAGCAGGCTAGTCACCTTCTTCCCACAGGCCTCAGTTTCCTCAGCTGTAAAACGAATGGATCCTATTCAACAATTTCTAAGGGTCCTTCTGGCTCTAGATTCAGGGTCCTCTGTGTCAGGGCGGCCAATGAATAAGCCCTGTGAACGTTCTCTATTCAGGCAAGGCACTGAACTTTTCTAGAAGCACCAGCTGTAATTAGCACTGATATTTTTTTTTCAAGAGGGTATTTAGAAGCAACCTCTTCTGATAAAAATAGATTAAGTATTTTTTTAAGTTCAATGCATTCACATTTTCTGTCAAATTTCCAAAGTGGGTCCATTAAGTGGGTTCAATTAAATGATGGATTTATTCTTTGGCAGCAGCTGACAGATGAACCAGATTATTATTTAAACTACATGACTTTAAAACTTCCTCAATTCTTCACTTTCAACACTGGTGCAAAAGAGAAGAACTTTGGCCTGAACAACAGACTGCATAAACATGACTTTTCAGTCTCTGATGGAATGGGGAGGATTTTTTTTTACCCCCTGAGGTGAATGGATGCTCCCCACCCGTGGCACTTCTACAGTGGCCCCTTTGGTCTCCCTCAGGCTCACCCTGTAAGGAAGGCTGCGAGTCCAAATCAGCATACTCCTCCAATAGCTTTGCCGAGTCTCCCTCCTTCCCCGAATACAAAGAGAGGGCATCAAGATTGTCCTCCAGAGCCTCGCCGGCCATATCTGGCGTCGGGAGGCCAGGGTCCAGGTCTAAGCTGCTCAGGCCAGCGTAGAGCAGGTCTCTTGTGTTGGGGCACAGATCCCGATTGAGGGTGTCACTGCAGTTCAGCCCCTGGCTCTCTGAAAATCCAGGAAGGTGCATCTCTGACTGAAGGGCACCATCGTCTCCAAGGCTGTACTGGTCCATGGCGCTCCACTGCCACGTCTTGGCCAAAAGCTGCTCTCTGATGAGATTTGAAGGCAGGCAGCAAATAGCCTTGAGGCCCAATCCAAATCCTAAGGATAAACAAGGGGCAGACAACACCGTAAGAAACCCCACAAAGCATCAACTAGCTTGTGTCAGTAGCCCATCCTGCACCCTGGAGTCATCTCTGACTCCTCCCTTGCCCTCATCCCACAAATCCCATCTATCAGGGAGCCCTGTCATTGCTTCCTCTTCAAGCTCTCCAGCATCGCCACCCCGTTTTCAAAACACACACGCGCGCGCGCACACACACACACACACACACACGCATATATACACCCTCTGCCCCCATGCACTTTACATTCTACCTAAATTAAACTACTCCATAACCACCCGGACCTGTCCTGCCCCTCTCTCCTTCTCCAGGCAGCTGGCTGATGCCTAGTATCTCCAGTTGCTCAAATCCCTTTCTTTCCTTCACTTCAATCCTTCCCCCAAGAAGAGGAAATGAAAGCAATGCTCCTTTCCCCAAATGTCTCATAGTATTTTGCCTAGACCTCTCTCATTTGTGAAGCTGTTAGCATAGTGCGTGGCACATAACAGGTACTTAATAAATGCTTATTTATTATCCCTTATCTCCTTGGCAGCCCAGCTATTCATACACATATTTTCTTCCACTAGATTACATCAGATGACCCTGGAAAACAGGGCCTGGGTCCCATTTATCTTTGCGTCCCTGCAGAACCTCTTTGGTGAATGAATACATGAATGGATGAGGTCCAGCACGCTGTCTACAGACTGGTCTTGCATTCACAGATAAGAAAACCAAGTCTCCATGATGGAAAATGCTATCCGCATCCAGAGAAAGAACCATGGAGTCTGAAGGCAGAGCCAAGCAGACCATTTGCAATTTTTTCGTTTTTTTCTTTCTCATGGTTTTCTCCCTTTTGTTCTGATGCTTCTTTCACAACATGACTAATGTGGAAATATGTTCAATATGATTCTACATGTATAACCTGTATCAGATTACTTGCTGTCTTGGGGAGGGGGAAAAAATTTGGAACTCAAAATCTCATGAAAGTAAATACTGAAAACTATCTTTACATGTAATCAGAAAAAATAAAATACTATTAAGAGGGAAAAAAAAAGACAACTGAGTCTCAACAAAACATTAGAGGCAGAAAAGGCCATGAAGCTATATTGTCTAGTTCCATCCTCCTTATTCTATGGAGAAGGAGCTCTGTCTGTGCCCAAGGTCGCAGAGGGAGTTCATGACAGGGCCAAGACTGTAATCTAGGCCTCCTGACTCTAGGCCTCGCATGCTTTCCATTGGATCAGGCCTCTTGCTTAAGGTCACACAGACATCAGTCAAACCAGCTTTCCTGCTTCCCAAAAATAAGGAAAAATGAGACCATCTCCCTATCTTCATGGCACAAAGACTTCTTCTTCCATTTTAACAGCCCACCATAATCACTGGATTTGCAAAGAACTTTACTTAATTCGCTCATTAAATCACATTCCTGCCACGTGCCATCTTCTCATCTTCCTAAAACCACTTGATGGCCCAAGTCAGGAGTGAGGACTCTTTCCTATCAAGGGTCAATGATGGACATGCGAAAAAAAATCAATAAAGGGTTACAGACATATAACAAGCAAATGCATTTCACTCAACAAGCATTTATAATGCACCCACTAAGCAAAAGGCACCAAAACCACAAAAACAAAAATGGCAGACGGCCCCTGCCTTCAAAGTCTGTCCATTCTCCTGGAGGACACAACAAGTAAACAGATGAGCAAATCCAAGACAGTCTGACAAGTGGGGCCGCTTTCCAGAGGAGGTGGCCCCTGAGATGCACCTTGAAGAGATGCAAGGATTCTAAGGGCAGGGGAAGACAACCCGGCTTATTCAGATACTTCATTAAGAGAGAAAAGCATCCCACTCAACTATTTTCTAGAGTAAGAACAGAAAATATAAAACATTCAAAAATACAACCCCCCCCCACACACACACACAAAGACTGCGTTAAATTTGGGAAATTACAGCAACTCATCAATGATCCCGAAACCTATCTTCATCAATATTCTTCTGATGGTATTACAAAGCCAAGAGTCATGGGACAGTGATCTCTGAAGATCTTTGATCTCACTGAACAAAACTGCAGGTGGCCCACACATCAAAGGAAAGACACCCAGTGCAGGTGACGAGGCACTACCAGGTCACGAATGCTGACTTAAAAGCTAACCACGTATGATCAGGCCACAGAGTTATAATTCTACCTTGGCATCCCTGAAACAGTAAAACAACCGTAACAAGGCTTCTAGTGTGTTGATTCGATCTTGTACAGAGGACTCACAGAACTACAGGGCGGAGGACTTCACAGAATCAGAAGGTATAGAGGGCCTACAACTTACACCAGTGAAGACAGCGTGTGATCAGTTAAGGATAAAATATTGATGGCGAAGGAATGGAGGGGAGAAGAAAGGAAAGGGAGTGAAGATGTCCCAAAAACAGAAGCCAATTTCCTGACAAATAAAGGCCTTCAAAGGAGAGAGACTGAGTGAGGCACAGGGAATGAAGGTCCATGTCGGTCTGAAGGGAGCCCCTCCCAACACGTACATGGATGCTCTCCCTCGAAAGAGAAGGCTGACTGACCATTTGTAGTTTAGAAGAATCCTTCTGTAGGTTGGTCTACTTATCCTTTCAAAGTCGATTTTTGAAAATGAAGATGTAATTTCCTATGGGAATCTGGGGAGGGGAGGGGGGGTTGACTGCCTTTTGAAATTCTCAGGTCTCTGGACTCAGCTGAGTGCCCCTACGGCATCATATTACCCAGGCCAATAAGCTCAGAATTACAGAATCAGAGTTGGGAGGGCCCTGTGAGGCCATCTAAGCCATGGATTGTTACCCATGCCCAACCAAACATCCCCTCTGCAACATTCCCAGCAAGGAGGTATCCAGCCTTTGCTGGAAGACTTCTACAGAGGGTGCAGTCCACCTTCAGGATAACTCTAACTGTTAGGAGACCACTCCTTGTATCAAAGCTTAATCTGCTTCACTTTCAAAACAGGATGAATAGAATTTTGCATGGTCTTGCAAGAAGAATATCCAGCTGAGCACAAAGCACAGCATGAGCTCAGGCTTGCAATGAATGCTAAGGGCAAAAAAGAGATTCTGAAAATTCCACTGGGACAAGAGAGGATCCACAAAGGCCACGGGACTGATGCTCGGGGTGGATGGGATGGCGGCCCAGAGTCAGAACCACTTCCCTGTTGGTTCTGTCTTCTCTGACAAAGAGCAGAATCTTAGCAAGGAGTCCAAGCCTCATGACACAGCTTGGTCACTATGGGGAAAACACTTGGCAAACCTTTGTGCCCTATTCAAACATGAATCCTTCTGATTCAAATAAATAAGTGGTGATAGCTCCCAGGTGCTAAGCCTTGCCTTCTGCAGGCTAAACTTCTCCAGGGCACGACAGGACCCTGAGGCTCTTCACTATCCCCATTACCCTCTTGTGGACACTCCCGAACTTATCAGGGTCTTCCCTAAAATGTGGTGCTCCAGAACACAACGCTGCAGTTGTAGATGATCAGGATGGATCCAGTATGGTGGAGCAGGAACTCCATTCCTGCCTTTTGGGCGGCTGCATCACATTCCTGACTTCTACTCAGGTTTCATGTGGGCCATGATTTGCTCTATCTAGTCGTGGCAATCTTATGGTCATGAAGTTGATTTCTTAAAACCCAAGTATAAAACTTTATATTTATCCCTATTAATTTCATCTTACTACCCACCCTTAGCCCCATATTTGAGCCTGAATTCTGCCACCTGGCATGTTATCTGCAGATTTAAAAAGTATGCCACCTAAGCCTTTATGTAAGATATCTATTTTTTAAAAATTTATTTTGATTTATTAACAATCACTTCCATAAGCTTTCGAGTTTTAAGTTTTCTCCCCCTCCCTCCCCAAGATGGCGCACAATCTGATATAGGCTCTACATATACATTCCTATTAAACATTTTCACATTAGTCATGTTGTAAGGAAGAATTAGAACGAACAGGAGGAACCACAAGAAAAAGGAAATAAAACACAACAGAAGAAAAAAATAGCAAATAGTCTGCTTCAATCTGCATTTAAACTCCATAGTTCTTTCTTTGGATGTGGATTGCATTTTCCATCATGATGCCTTTGGAGATGTAAGACATTGATTTTTAAATGATATGTATTTTTTAATTTTAAAATTTAAATTTTGAAATTTTTTTAAATTCAAATTTTAAATTTCAACTAGAAACCTCGCTTCAGGTTCACATCGATCCATCAGCATCATTCAGGCAGTGAGCTCCACTTCACTGTTCTATCACCCAGGCACCTTGTCCACTTTCTCCACAAGGATGGCATTAGAGACTTTGCCAAATGCTTTTGCTAACATGTAGTTAAACAGTATCTACAACATTCCCCTAATCTACTAGTCTTGTGACATTATCAAGAAGGAAAATGAGGTTATTTGGCGACAAGTCAGTCTTCTGTATCATTGCTCCCATCCCTTTAATAAGATGTCTTAGAATTCTGTGAGGAATTCAAAGCCAAGCTCTTTGGCCTATGGTTTGGAGACTCTTCTGCTTTTTCTCTGAAAATCGGCCCATTTAATCCTCTTTTCTTCTAGTCCCTTCTCCCCACTTTTTCTTTTTTTATTAATTTATTTTGATTTATCAACAACCACTTCATAAGCTTTTGAGTTTTAAATTTTTCTCCTCCTCCTTCCCCCTCTCCTTCCCCAAGACGGCACACGATCTGATATAGGGAATACATATACATTCCTATTAAACATTTTCACATTAGCGATGTTGTAAGGAATAATTAGAACCAATAGGTTCTAACCAATAGGAACAAGAAAGAGAAAATAAAATAAAACAGAAGAAAAAAAATAGCAAATAGTATGCCTCGATCTGCATTCAGACTCTATTGTTCTTTCTTCTTTGTGGATAGCATTTTCCATCATGAGGTCTTTGGAGATGTCTTAGATCCCCTGCATTGCTGAGAAGGACTGAGTTTATCAACACTGGTCATTGCACAATGTGGTACAACATTCTCCTGGTTCTGCTCACTTCACTCAGCATCAGTCCATACAAGTCTTCCCAGGTTTTTCTGAAGTCTGCCTGCTCATCATTTCTCATAGCACAATAGTATTCCATTACATTCATATACCACAACTTGTTCAGCCATTCCCCAATGGATGGGCATCCTCTCAATTTCCAATTCTTTGCCACCACAAAAAGAGCTGCTATAAATGATTTTGTACATGTGGGTCCTTTTCCCATTTGTATGATCTCTTTGGGATACAATCCTAGAAGTGCTATTGCTGGGTCAAAGGGTATGCACATTTTTATAGCTCTTGGGGCGCGTAGTTCCAAATTGCTCTCCAAAATGGTTGTATCATTTCACAACTCCACCAACAATGCATTAGTGTTCCAATTTTCCCACATCTTCTCCAACATTTATCATTTTCCTGTTTTGTCATGTTGGCCAATCGGATAGGTGGGATGTGGTACCTCAGAGTTGTTTAGATTTGTATTTCTCTAATCAATAGTGATTTAGAGCATTTTTTCATACGACTATCGATGGCTTTAATTTCTTCATCTGAGAACTGCCTACTCATATCTTTTGACCATTTCTCAACTTCTCCCCACTTTTCCAACGACCACTGAAGGTGGCTCAGCAGTCACATCCTGCAGCACTTTCAGCAGCCGGTAACCTGAACTAATCAAGGGCAATGAGATGCATTTCAATATCTCCCTATTCATTCTGGGCCCCCATTATTAGCCATTCTTGGCTCCATCCTTCAGTAACTGGTATCTGCACAGAATACAAAGGTTTACAAAGTATCTTTCTCAGAGTGACCAAGCTGTGTTATAAGGCCTGAACTCCTTTCTAAGATCCTTCTCTTTGTCAGAGAAGATAGAACAAAAAGGGGAATGGTAGTTCTGACTTCGGACCATCATACAGAAAGAATAAGACGACGCTGAACACAATGTTATTATGATGACCAAGCCTGGCCCCAGAGGAGAAAGAAGAAATGCTCCTACCTCCTGCTGGTGAAGAGGTCAGGAGGCTCTACAGGTCTGCAATGTGGTATACGTATGGTGTCAGATGTGTTAGCTGGTACAGCTTCCAGGAATAGGAAACTCATCATCTCCTCTGCCCTCACTAAACCTCACTGGGGGCACTGTTTTCAGTTCTGGACAACACAATTTAAAAAGGGCTGGACAGAGTCCCAAGAAAGGCAAACCAGGACAACAGAGTCCATGTCATGAATGAATGAAACATTTATTAAAGGCTCACAGTGCTAAGTGCTGCGAATACAAATAGAAAAGTAAGCAGCCTCTGCCTACAGGAGCACACATTCTAACGGGGAGACACCACACATAGGTTTCAGGGGTGAGTCAGATGGAAACGTCCCTTAGGGTATGGTGGCAAAACAGATGGTCCTACCTCTTCCTGAATGTCATCCCCACTGAGAAAATCATCACAGCTTCTAAAGCCAATGCATTTGGCAGGACCAAGGACTTTGGTGACAAGACCTTTCTTTTCTGGGTCTTCAGGACAGTGGCCAGGATGCATCTCTACAGGGGCTGCTTTCCAGGGCGATGGCAGCAGGCACTGGGCCGGAAGCCCAGCCATCCCAAAGGCTCTTGGCCTCAGAAGCCTGGGCCATCCCCATCAGGGTCTCGGGGAGAGGGTGGTCAATGTGCCGGTGGCAGTTAGACTTGCCCAGCACATACTGCCTCCTGTCTTTCCTTCAGGTGCCTCGTCCTTCGATGACAGTGGCAGCAGCGGGGGATGGCTGGCTGACTCTTTACAGAAGCTGCCTCCCTAGATGATGACTCGGACGCCTAAGCTAGAAGCAGGACCAGTGGTCTGGTGGATGCTGCAGCTCCCAGGGTTCTTATGCCTAGCATGTGAGGATTGGTTAAAAGAACTGGGCATATTTAACCTAGAGGAGACTCAGGTAGAGTAGAAAAGCTCTAGTCAAGTCACATGGAAAAGGGATTAGATAGGTTGTTTGGCCTCAAAAGGCAAAATCAGGAGCAGTGAGTGAATGGAAGAGAAGTCAAATGAGGTTTGATGTGAGGATAAACTTTTCAATGACCAGCACCGTCCCCTAGTAGAACGGGCAACCTCCAGAGGCATCTGGGGGGGCGCCCCCCTCC